CCCAGTACGTCATCACCAACGCTGATTCGCGGCAATATTGAAGATTGCACCACCAGTGAAGGTCGAAAAGGTCAGTTTTCCTTGTGTTGATGGTGAGCCCGAATTCGGCCGCTGTCGAAGCCGGAGCACTAGTCATGTGCTGCAACTCATCCGCGCTGTGTGCAAACAACGCGCAGTCATTGGCAAACAGCAACATACGGATAGTTATCTCACAAGCTAGGGTTTTCGCATCAAAACAACGGGTGTTCAGCAACCCAACAACAATACGGTGCTCTACACGAACACCGCAAGCACAAGCCGCATCAAAAGCACATCACGACTTGAAGATAAATATTAAGCAGATCAGGAGCTTTGACATAGTCTTGCTTCATACCAGAGACAACACCAGAGACAAGTCACCCGAGGTCTCTCCACTCAGTTGCACCCTCGCACGCATAACACTGTGCGGACATTCAATTAAACTTACAAACCTACCCGAGCAACCAAACTTACCCAACACCAGCCACAATGTCTCGCGGTTCACCGTATCAAATGCCTTGGTGAAATCAACATACAGCAAGTACAACGGCTGGTGTCCTTCTCTGCACTTCTCCTGCAACTGACGAGCCGCAGCCACCAATCTATAGCGTTGCGACCCGAACCGAATCCACACTGCTCTTCCGCTACGTTAGGTTCCACAACCTGACTGACGAGGCGGTTGAGCAGGATTCGGGCAATCACCTTGCCCACACAACTCAGCGACTTGATGCCACGATGATTCATGTAACATTGCTTGCGTCCTTTGCTCTTGTACAGTAATAGCACAAGTGCATCTTTCACCTCAGGATGCACCTCCTTCTCAATCCACACGCTTTGTACCAAGTGGTGCAGCGCCGTCAACAACGCAGGTCCGCAGTGTTTCAATACTTCAGGCGGGATCTCGTCGGCACCGGCACACTTGCCGTTTGGCAGCTGAGCAAGTGCTCTCTGCGTCTCATCCAGTGTGGGCATGTCTGCCAGACTCATCTTCACATAGTGCTGCTTGAGGCCATTCAAACTATTCCAGTTGATCTCTGAGCGGTTGTTCAAGAGATAGTCAAAGTGTTTTTGCCAGATCTGCGTAAGGTCTGCAGCCTAGGTGCAGGTAGCACCTGAACTGCCATCGATCAGCGTCCTCAGCGGCTCCAATCTCGGCCCATACACCGTCTTCATGGAGTCAAAGAATTCCTTGTGTTGGCGACGTTCGGCGTAGCAATCCGTCTGCTTCGCCTTCTCCGTCCACCATGTATTTTTAATGCGACGGAGCTCTCGAGTCAGTCCCCGTCGAAGTTAGTGAAACTGACTCTTCTTCCCCAAGTCATTGGGGTCTGCGACATGTGCAGCAAATGCTGCATTCTTCTCACACACCAATGCGCCAATCGTCGCGTTGTTCTCATCAAACAAATCAGGCCGCTTACAGTTTGCGCGTCCGATCGTCTCTTCGGCAGCAGCTGTCATCTGGTCGCGAATGTGGTGCCACAGGTCACCCACTGTAGCGATGCAGTCCACATCACACATCCGTGCAGCCATCGCCTTCTCCAGCTCAATACCTTTCGCCACAGTACCGAGGTGGAGGATGTTAAATTTACGCCGATTCACGGCCGAAGTGCAATATATAGCTTTACGAAAACATATGTACAGTTTGGTCCGCATCAATGTGTGGTCAGTGCCACAGCTCGATGCAGTACACGTGTCATGTGCACTTCACGCTTATCATGCTGACTTACGATGATTTAGTCGAGCAGGTGAGGATGACCTCTCCGTGGATGCGTCCAAGTTGCTCTATCACTCACACTCAGTACAAACCGAGTGTTTGTGGTTGTCAGGCCGTGAGCGGCACACAGTGAGAGCAGCTTGTCACCGTTCGCATTCGCTGAACCAATGCCATGCGAACCGATAACATCTGCCCACGGCGATGCATCACGCTCACGCGCGGGTTGAAATCACCCAGCAGCAATAGTCGGTCGCTCATCGGCATAGACCGTATGACGGAGGATAGCTCAGTATAGAATTGATCACGCGTGTCATCAGGATAACACATGGTCAGACCGTACATGCTTATAAAAGTGGCAAACGTACTTCTCCCGAGTTGTGGGCGAACAGTCATCAGCCGCGCGCTGATGCCCGTTGGTTCACCTACCAGCTGGCCATGGAGGCGATCGGATATTGCAAATCCGACCCCATGTTCACGTGGTGCTAAGGTGGCGTTGCCCACCCAGTAGAATGTGTAGCCAGCAGCTGCTTCATGCAGCCTAACTGGCCATGTTGCTTACGCTAATTGCGCTTATGATCGGTAAGTTTGTTGCGTTTGTAGCATTTTTAAGTATCTTGCGTACATTTTTTCCTTATAGCGAATTCGTTGCTAATCAACTTTCTTCATATGCCAGTTTAACGAAGAGTTATGGCGCCGTATCTGTATGCATTATTGGATTTATTTTATTTTTGGTTTCAACTGATTGGCTGTTGCATGATATCCCCGGTGTGGCTGCGCTTGTTGTGCATGTTGAGAAGGTGCCTACCTGTCTATTACCTACTGCCTCGTCCATACTGGCTCCAGGAGACAGTTGGTCGTTGCTGAAGGGGACGGGATGCACGGTCCTTGTGGCCGTGCTAGGCTCGAAGAGTGGTTCCATGCACTCAGTGTGGAGCGGACTACGATCCAGCCACCGCCTTGTGTGAGCTTGATTCCCCAGCTACAACGTGCTTGTGTTTGCCTGTGAATGAGTGTGGGCCGGCTCCGTTGATGAAACGTGGCTCACATCCACATGCATCCCGGTCTTGTTCGTGTTTACACTGGATATGGGGGTGTGTGGTTGGAGCTGTGGGTGGTGCACCGCAAGCCACCCATGGTCCTCTGTAGGCTCAGGCGTCCTGTGGCTGGCCACAGTGACAGGCAGTTCCGAAACCGGATGCCACCTACCATATATATTTATTCTAGCTTCTATTCGTCGTTTGTTGTTTTGTTGTTTTTTACTAGTCTCCGTTTCCTCTTCATTAACCTTGACCCTGTTGAATATATTTGTGGGTGGTTGAGTTGCATCTGTTTATTCTTTCTTTTTGGACTTTCTTCCATTTCCCATGCGCATTCACCTGAATTACGGCAGAGACACTAAGCGTTGCCTTTGTCTCTGATACTCGCCTCCACATAGCGCATTAAGAATAATTACTGCGATGACAATCCACTGTAAAGGGTAACATATAGTACTGTGTTTGACACGATGCGCTCTGTGCTTTGTCTCTGTAGTGGGTTTTTATCACAGTTATCCATGTGTCCTGAATCTGCCGCTCGTTCTCTGGTAATCATTCATGTTTAGCTCCACACGATTTTAATGCTACCTAGGTGCTGATACTTCTGTTCTCGGTTTCGGGGATACCGCGATACGTTTTATCTAAGCCAATCATGTCCATAGTCGGGCCCGCGGGCAAAATGCTGCTCTCGTTAACATTTTAACTGGCCCACTGCCTTATGATGAAATAGTAAATTCAGGTTGGACGTTTTTCGTACATGCGTAATTTCTCTTATTGTCCTCAAGTCAGACTGTGTATGACTTGACTTATTTTTACCTCACAACATGTGGACCTCGTGGCAAAAAGTTTGGACACCGCTGATCTAAGGGGTTTCTACCTACAATGCGCAAGTCGCTACTGCATGGTTGAATCGGGACTCTGTCAGTTCTAACCCTGATTGGGCAGTCACTGAAACTTGTTGCCTGGTTTACTTACCTTCATCGCCTTACTAAGTATTGGGAAACTGTTCAAGACCTTGTTTACCTACGGGGACAACGGTATTTTGCCCCATTCGTTAATGGGACGTTGGGCAACACTAGGATGTGGCCAGTGAGGAACATGGCAACATTAATAGACTGACCGCGTTTCATTACGATCGCCCGTATTTTCCATAAATGGCACGATCACTAATCTACGTTAACAAGAGTCTGAATACGAGACCTTTGATTCTACACTAAACAATTTTTCACACCTGAACTACATGCATCGGTCTCATCATGTCTTTCATATGTGTTTTGCATTCCTGTCTCTTCACGTGCTTCCTTCGGAGATTGCACCGGGTTTGAGGCAGCAGGCCGGTGGACTGATGATGAGATTAACGTGCGAAGCACTTTAACCGTAGTAATTGGCCTTGCTGCCACACGTCCTCTTCCTGCATTAGGCTTGTAATTGGTCACTTCACTGATTGAAATCAGAGTGACCCTACTGCGTGTGCTCTGATGCTCCTTCTCCTCGGCTTTTTGTTTATTTTGCGGTATCCTTTCCATTGGTTTTGTGTCTATCTGTTTGCTCTTCATTTTGCTTGTCATTTTTGCACTCGTTGTCGCAGCAGCATCGTCAAGACAGTTGAACCCACCGCACTTCGCTGCTCGGGTTATTACTGATCACCTGAACCGAAGTTCCCAAAGTGTCGCTGATTTTTACACGTCGTTTGCACACATTTCCCAGAATTTCACACTAGTCAGTGAATAGTAAGCATGGATCCCATATCGGTCGGCTGCTTAGCTAACAATCACTCTCTTTTTTCCACACATTGCGTCTACATACTCGGTTCTGATTTCGAACCGGTCATCGCTTTCCCTGACCTGCCTCCTAGTCCGATTCTTTCCGATTTAGCATGGAGATGCAAAGCATAGATAGTGATGTCACGCTCGGTAGGCTGTGGCTACTTTCTACCACGAAATGAACAAACCCGGAGGCGTGTGTCGCTTATCAATCAATTCGTCTGCATTCACCATTCCTTGCTAACTCGACTGCGTTTCGCTGTTGAACCTATTTCCTTTACACTTGTGCCTGTCCACTCAGGACCTTCTCCGGTTCAGTGATTTATGACCTTTACTCTTCCTTTGAATCTCGCAGTTATGCTCTAGGGTTTTACCATGGATTCACTGGCTGCATTCTAACTACTAGCTCGAATTATTCACCGTGCATTGTTTGGTACAGCACTCGCCTTACTGTTTCCTCTCCTCTCTCAGACGTCCCCATTGGGTGCCGTACACCACCACTACCATTTGGAACACGCTGTTAGGATCCACTCTTCGCATTGCTGAGGCCCACTCAGCGCTGTCGGAGTTATTTACAAAACAAATGGTCCAACGTCTGGTGGATATGGACGAAGATGCGGTGCGGTTGCACAAACAGGTAGGCTTTACATACGCTCTCACCGGGTTAGTTTTTCCATATGTTCAATCCAGTCATGCTCCATCGTTACGAGACTAAGTGGTGGCCTAGCGTTTCCAACTTATTTACCTTGTTTTCTCATTAAATCTTATCTTGGCCATCCGATCCCCAAGTCGAAGTATATATTACATATCACGATGCTATTGCTATCCCTTATTCAACCATTCTTAGTAGTGCTTGTGATGAGGGCTGGAAATGCTGGTGATTGGAAATTCTGTAATGCCGATCGAACGTCACAGGCCAGACCGATAGGGGGTGAGCGTGTTGCCGGAAGCAGACTGGTCAACCAATCAGGAACTAATTGGCCCGTGATCGCATCTAACCTGCAACCATTCACTGAACGTGCAGGTGACCAATCAGGCACCAGCAGGCGAAGAAGCGCATACTCGTGTACCCTTGAGCCAAGGCTTGTGGCATTGGACCGAGGGAAGAAGCGCGCGGCCCAATCCCGCCAATCGTACATCCACTAAGAAAGTCAAGGTGATTTTAGACAGGGTGAATGTGGCGAGCAAGCATAAACCAGTGGAAAAGGAGCCAGCGACACAATGCAAATAACAGGGATGAACCATTGAAATGGACTGTTGTAAATAGTGTGGATACTCTATACATATTCGAGCGTAATCTTATTAAACGACTTCGTGATCGCGACCCAGTCTTCTTGCTCCCGGAGGGCAATACGACAGTGCTTATATCCGACAGTGCTCATATCCACGATCATTGACTACACCTAATCTTTACGGATATCAGTTATCATCACTCTCACATTCCGAGTTAATGTACCAAGTGTGCGCTGTAATATTAACTCCATGATGACCGAGCTGCAAGGCCATTGATATGGTACTTTACTCATTACCTTCTCTAGTAGTCTAACACTGCAGGTTTAAACCTCCGACCCTAGTCACTTTTCACATTGGTTTGCGATTGCGCTGGATTGACTGTTGAATGATGTGCAGATGTTCTGTGTATGGGGATACACCGAGCAGAGGCCAAATGTATAATGGTTGAAGGGGATTTGAATAGTTGGTCCCTGTCAAGAACTCACTTTCATCTATTCATTCCGTCCTGCATTAGAGATGGAATTACTTTTTCTTTCCTCGCGCCAACTCAGTACATCCTTGGATTGTGCTTAGCTATGCGACTGGACTCGCCTATTGTCTACTCCCTGGAAACGTGACTCATGTTCTTAGTTGGTGTCTTCTATATTCTCTTACTTTCTGAAGCCAGCCAACTCACATCTGCTAACATCGGTGTAACCAGGTAAGTGCGGGAGTTGTTGCTTTGGAACTAGGTGGTTTACCCAGTGGTCGTAGTCGGTCACCGATGCTGGTCCAGCCGCTCCATTCAACCTTGTGTGATGCATTCCCGAAGTGATGCTTGGGTCATTTTGAGGTACTCGTTGTGTGATTGGATTACCCCGCGCAGTCTCAATGTGGATCGCGTTTCGCATTGAAGTGCTCCTCGATCAATTCAATGTAGTGGGCAGCACCCAATATTCATCAGGGAGGTGTTTTCGGACCGACGGCCGCATACTATCAATCTTTTCCCTGAAAACAGCCGAAGAACACCATGAGTAGACTATCGGGGTCTCACTGTGATTGCCGTTCCCTGGAGACTATTTACAAGTTTACTCGTCATCTATTTAGTGGATTTATTGAGAACCCAACGCTATATTGAAGACTGCATTGATCTATTTTTACGCCTCCCTATGTGCTTGGACAACACTAAACACCCTTTATTTCATCTGGAAAGTCTTCGACTCAGTTTGTCGCACCTATTTGTGGCATTGTAATTTCCTAACATATGTTGAGGCATTTCATTTCTATCCAGTGCTTCCTATGTCACAACCACTCGGGCGACATGTATGCAGCATTTCTTTGCCTGTGCTCCGCTCACAATCAACAAGGTTTCTCAGAGCTGTCCTTTTTTTCTTTTCTGACTTTCATCGAGCTAGCCTTAGCAATTTCTTCTGGGGGTGTAATTCCGACATGTGGCTGGCTGACGAAATTACAACACGCTGATGTCATGCCTCTTCTTTTATCATTCCCAACGACGCTTTGTTCTGTTTGTTGGTACACAGCGTTTCAGGCGTTCTCATATGCTTTGCATTTTCTAAGTGCACCGCACCATTGAGGCGGGGCAGAACCGATATGATGCCTGTTCTCAAGGTCCCTCAACAGCCACTCGTGGTTGTCAATTGGTTCATTTATCCTAGCATTTGTATCCGTTCTGGTGCTCGTCTCGGCCACGGGACTGCTGATTACATCGATATTACTAAGGTGGCTTTCTAATTTATTTGCTATTGAAGTGGCATGATGACATTAACTTAACAATTACAGCTGATATGTACAAAACCGATGTTTAGCATTGGTTTTGTTTGCATCAGACATATGGCCAGCGCGTGCCTAGGATATTTGAGCTACCAAACATCACACAGGTCTACTGGATTCATTGAATGCATAACATTGAGGTCACCCGCCGTTGAACTCAGACTACTCGCCTCAATCCGACCATGACAGTCGTGCACTCGTCGATGGCTTTCTTCAGAGTGTGTTGTTCACTTTTGTTCTGCTTTGCTTGGTGACACCACAGTAATTAGCTGCTAATCTGACTCTATGACGAGGTTGATCAGTGCCCTGGACTGTGCTGCTGTGTATTGGTCACACAGCTGCATTTACTGTACTTTGGGACATGAATTATGATGGATTAACTGATTTGCAACCGAATGTCTTCACGATTGTGTTCTCACACTTGTTTTGTTGTTTCGCTTGGCCCGGTTCCAGTCATCTCGAAAAGGTCTTCGCTACATAGTCCCACGACACTCGCTGTCGCCAACCCCACAAGGTGTATTGTGGGAGCTTTATTGTGTTCTCTGCTTTATATCTGGATCCGTCTTAATGTGGTGGGTAGGTTGTCTAGCGCTGATGTTTGTGGTTGTCGCCATGCGCTGGGATTCATCACCACCACGATCGTCTCTCCTATGACTACCTCTGTTAACTACCATGTGGCATTTCCACTGCACTTCTGATCTGAATTAATAGATGAAGAGAACAACGAAAATCACTTAACTACTGATCAGATTGTAGTTGATGTACAAAGGACGTGTACTCAGCCAGCAAACACTGCCGACGGCGTACAGTCATGATCCACTACTAATCACAAGGGATTGATACCCCCACAGCAACGATACGACAGCCTTTTCGTGGCATCTGCTAACCATGTCTTTCCCACTACGCCTAACAGCAGTGGAAGACGAAACTAATGTCTTCGTCACAGGTAATGATAATGTGTTTCCCTCTCACTCGCAGCGCTACGCAGTAGGAGATCGGTTTCATACTTGTTTGCTGCACTCTTCAGGTGCAGTTGGCAGATATTTGACTCTAAACTAGGACCAACTCTCCCAGTCATGGTACCGATCAAGACTCATTTCAACATTAATGTAGGTCCAGATTAAGATTTCGTGTTGTACTGCATTCACAAATCGAGTGCTTTGCATGAACCCACGGTGTCTCCATGACATATTTACCTCGCATCAAGCTCTGGCGCCACATCACACATCGTGACGTTGGACGTGACATGCCAATCGGTTGTGATTACTTTGCAGACGGAGTGGGGGTAACTGACTACTCTCTTGTAGTGCATGTTAAAATTAATCATTAGTTAGTAATGATTACTCTATGACGTGCGTACTGGTATTGAAGTGAGTTTTACACGAACATACTTTTGATTACACGTATTCAGGCTTGTGCTCGAACAACGTTGTCAACACAGAACTACATCTGCACTTGGTGCTTGTTTGAAGATTAGGCCGGCCTCAGCGAGATATCTTTCCTGTGGTTTTCGCTATCGAAATATTTGTCTTCCTTTTGCGATGGTTGTTGACTGGATGCTGATAATCACTGTCGTGTAGGTCACGAGGGCAGTTTCCAGGTTTTCCCTCGGTTCAGATGTCACCAACCATTTGGAACAAAGTAGCACCAGTGCCTAAGGGAATTTTCTCTAAACATAATTCCTGCCCATGTAGTTGATAACACAACAGTCTCAACCACTTTTAAAAATCAATTAGTGTGTTTTGTATGCTCATCGCAGTGCAGCCCGCTTTAAGAAGACTGGTCAGCCTCGAGCATGTAAGTGACACGGCAGCGTAGGTGAACGTAGGTTAACTCGAATCCATAGAAGGCTGTAATGGGAGCTGTTTGGATTAAATTCCACAGGAGAATCATCGCAACCACACTCCAACAGACTGTGACTGTGCATCTGGGAAACCACTAGGTTGCCGTTTCGTTCTTTTAGGATTTCTCAATGGTACACATTCCATCTACACGATGAGGAGCCAGAACTCGCGACACATCATTTCTCAGTTAGTTGTTGGGACCACCGGCCCACGAGGATGAGCAGTAACTGCCGTGGCCAAGTAACTACCGCAACACGCATCCCCAGCTTTCGAAGGAAAGGCTTGTACTCAGAGGCATAACCTATGTTTTTCCAAAAATGCGATGGCTATCTTACTTAGTGCAGGTGTAAAAAATTTCCATCAAAATTCGAAATCGTATTTGGCGAAATTACTGTCTGGTTTGTGTTGCCGCACGATACCTGGTGTCTCTCCACCGCTAGGTAACGTGTGGAATTATAGTAATGACAAACGAGATAACTAATAGGTGTGCTCACTCGCAGCGCTTGGTTTCGTACATTTTTTGCGCTCACCAAACTGGGGTAGGAGTTCGGTATTTATTGCTTTTATCCCCACATCACCGAATCGCATCTAACGCTTGTTGAAACGGCTGATGGCTCGTTCTTGCTTTGTTCTGCGTACACGTTGTGTGTGGATGGATTGCAACACGCATTCCCCATCCGTTTCACATTAATGTGAACTTTGGTGAAACATCTAAATCCTGCATGTTTCCCACTCGCAACAATCCGCTGCATTACACTCGTCAATTAGAGCTAGTTGGACTGGGACTTGATGCGGGTTTAGATTTTTGACTCTAAATGTGAAATTGTCATGCGTGTTGGCATATGCCACGGTGCATGCGCATCGAGTAGCAATAGATACTTGGTTGTATCCTCGTATTTGTTTCGCATAGCTGCCTATTGATGATTAAAAACATTGCAGTTGTGGGATCAAAGATAACACCAAAGCCCATCACAGACACTCCTCCGTCAGCAGACTGCTTGGTACTTCATTCCTTATCGAAGCCTTTTCACAGAATCGATTTCCATGCATGAGACATTGTATGCTTACCTCCAAACTACTTAAGGCTCTCGAGATACTACGAAACTGGCATAGTAGTGATGATAAGAATGCGGATTGTATAAATTTGGGCTAAATGGTAGTTGTCAGTTAAATGGCGGTGAAGCGATGTCAAGCGTTACCGAAGGGAAACGTGAGGCAAGTAAGAAGTCTTTATAGTATAATGTCAAGTCCTTTACAATTTGAACATAAACCAATTTTTGTGATTTCGTGCATATGTGCAATTAATTGGAATCACCTAGTTGTTGGCTAGTGGACTCTGACTGCCTAAGCTGGGGTTCATTGTTTTCACATATGTTTGCGATACAGATTAATCTGAAGCTTTCAGGCTTGCAGCAAAACTTATAACCATTTGTAGTGGTGAAATAAACGCCGCGTATTACGCAGTTTCGTGTATCACAACTACGCTTGTGGAATATTTTTGCGTGTCACTTGGTGTTGGGTTGCATGTGTAATGTTCCGAAGACCACGACACCACCGATCGAAACCGCCTGATCCACCTTATTGGAGCTCGATACACCATTTTTGGGCATTGATACCAACTGTGATCCGTTTCGCCACAGGTAGTTTATAGGTAAAGGGCTCACTGACAGTCGCTGAGGATGGTTTCCTCATTGTGGAACAGAGGAAGGCTGTTAAGAGAATGGCTATTTGATATTCATCTTTTGTAAGCTAGCTTAATAGCCATTCTTTATTCTTCCTATTTTCTACTTCTTGACAGTTGTTTAAACGCTCCACTGTGTTACCCCGATTGTTACACACACGTCATTGTTAATGGACGTTCATCGTGTCATCTTCAGCAGTGCCATTTGCAAGAACACATTCCACTGGTTTTTCTCCGCACCAATTTTCTACTTGGTTATGTTAAACGAATATTTACTTTTCACACAATTATTGCACTAGTTTTTAATTTTTGCATCTGCACTTATTCTCGTTTGTTTCATGATCTTTTTTCAACGCCACACTTCGTTATGCTGATTGGCCAGTGTCCGTCACTGTAAATGGATGTTCGCTTTACGCTTGGTGTCTCATGATGCTATTTTTAGGACATTTCCGATTCGCTCCTGAGTACACGGTTGCTTATTCGGCCGTTGCATTTGACGTTTTCCATCTGTTGGTTGGCTCAAGTGTAATTTAGTAGCTTCCGTTCATTTTGCCTTCAAAACTATATAAGCAAATGTGATTTCATATATACACGTCCCTTCTCGGCTCGCCTTTGGACTTCTTCTTTCGACCTTGGGGTGAAGATGTCACTGGCCACACAACAAAGGAGGCCGAAAAAACATATGGTGACGGAAAGATTTGGCGGGATTTTGCGAAATTGCTTGGCTTTTGTGTAAGCATCGCCATCGGTTGCATACCTAATGTCCTATAGGACGGCTGAACTAACAGAGGGGACGTGACCCACCATTTATAACACGTAGAGTTTAGCCCCACTAGTGATAACATGGACATACATCATAATGTATGCTATTGACTGTAGCCGGACGTGGCTCTGCATTGTACTCTTACACTTGTAGGTGACTCCTACGGACGCTTGATTGATAAATTTACATTATTAGGTCAATGTAGTGGCGAGTTATCCTCAAAATTGCTCATGGCTGTTGTGATGCAGGGCATTGTCAATCGCAAGGGAGCTTTCTCTCCGATTCTTCCAGCAATTTTCGATTTCCAAGGTATCAACAATACGAGGGAATTTTATACTGATGTTCCACTGCCACTATCGGTCGCATGCGGGCTGAAATATTGCGAGGTCATTGGCACACTGACGGGTTCTAACCGGTGATTTGTGGACTACAAACAAAACACGTGAAGCATCTTACTGCTGGTTTCGTACTATCGGTCATTACCAAGGTATTTCGGCTATATCCTGAATGATTTTTAATCATTTAGCTTTTTCCCTCAGGCCCCCTTTAGTCTCTTCCCTTGTCGTTATTATTCTTCGTTAACAGAGCCCTTATGTTTTGCTGATAGCGAAGTGATAGCACAAAGAACTGTCCCGGTTTTGCTGTTTAAAACGTTTGCTGTGTGCAGTCATAGAGGTTGTATGGCATCGAAAAATCAATACAAGGCGGTGACTTTCTGTTGTCGATGATAATTTATTACATTTCTTCAGCGTTTTTCTTTGCATGCCTGGCACATTGAATTTTTATTCTCCCCCGGCGCATGTTGTTCTAAGGCTAGACAGCGACCTCGGTTGCCTTAGCTAATGCTGTTGGGTTGTTCAGCCGTTAAGTTCGTATTTGGCTTACCAGCTGATGCGAAGAATCTCTAGCTGTTTACATCAAAAGTCCCCTACTCAGGAATACACCAAGATGTGCTCCATAACAAATTATAAATGCTATATAGTACACATCCATTCTCAGTGAAAGCCGTGTCTTTGGAAACTAACTCCTTCCCCTGCAACCTTTGTAACTTGCTTGACGTCATATCGCAATTAGCTTGTAAATCAAGACGGTCCGCCAATATCTCCGGTGGCCTAGTGACATTAGCTAGTAACCGACGGTGTAAGCCGCTGGTAACCGTGGGTTCGGTACCTGATGGAGCCAATAGTTACACCCTACTATCTAGTCACACTAGGACGAAATGGCTATCTAGTGCTTTTATGGGTATGTAGAAGGGTGTCTGATTTGGAAGCTGTTGCGATGAAACTTTCAAGTCATACTCCATGGGTTCTGCAGTTTCTCTGCTCACGTTTCCTCATCTTTCGCAGTATCACTTTCTTGACAGACAAGCTTCACCTGAGATCTTGTTAACGCTGAAATCATAGATTAGGAGGTGGCTGTAATATTTGAGGAGCTAACAACTGTTTTTCTCTGTTCTTTCTCGATGACTGTTACTGGTCCAATGGCCTTCTCATAACACTCAAATTAAATGTTTTTTTGCACTGGATTATTCCACCTGTGAAGCAAACTGGCCACAATCAGTTCCAGTCATACAGTCACGTAGCCCTCATAGTACTGTTTCAGTGATTCGCCTTCTCCGAACATCTACGCGCATTCCCTCAATCTTCTGAACAGTGGAACTCGCGACCGTATCTCACAATCCATTATACACGCCATCCCCTCATTGGGCAATCAGCCGAGTAAATAGTTTTGGGGTATTTACTGGGCATCCGTCGCTGGATAGAGTCCAACCCATCTTTCACGATCATCATACTTAATTGACCACCTCAGCTTCTCAAGTTTATTGTGGCCATTATTATCAATCGAGAGCGACGACCACTTTGCGTGCAAAACAACTGGCATCGACACTGATGTTACAACAGTAGTGTTAAGTGCGTTACTTTGTCATCAATTGACGTAACCTCGTTTTTGGAACCTTGTATAGTTACATGTGTGTGGTTTAAAAAGAATGTACGGAATGTCGGCATTATCTCACATTCTCCCAAATTAAATCTGCTGTCATTGGTTCTTGTGTATTTGTCTTTATTGATGTATCTGTTTTATTATTGTTCTACTTGTACCAACCGCGCTTCGTTTCTTACCGACTCTTGTTTAAGCACGAAGCACCCTACTGATAATTTCTTCCGTTTATGCCTATTTTTCCGGGAGGTAACTACAAATAAATTCCGCTTGTACTTTAATGCTTACCTCTTCCTGGTGAAAGTATTTCTTGACTTACACGCCGTCCGCAGTCAATAGTAACACGACGTCACTCACCTGAAAGATAGGGTGTAGGTTTGCCTTGCGTTTACGAATGTCTGTCGTCATCACATGTGTCTTCCTCTACGCAGCTGCTCGATGGAATGTCTTTTCTCCTGGACGTAGTTACATGAACTGCGCTGTCGGCTCTCCAGAATGTCACAGCTGTCGTTATACTTTGTCCCAGATCAACCCGTCAGTTGCTGCTATGCTATGGTGAAATGACATACAACTTGGGCCCATGTTCTATCTTTTCTTGACTTTCCAACCTAATCACAGGGAGCGTGTGCGCACCATTGTATTTTTCTCACAGCCAGATGAGATAATTAACTCTCTAGCACTCTTACCATCGTGTTGCGGCTGATGATCCTATTGGTTTTACTGGGCGTCTCATGTTCGGTTAACCTCTTTCCCTTCATTTTCATTCACTTGTTATTATTGTTAGAGTAACCTGAACCACACGTGCGTCTTGCACTTGTCTCACACTGTACTTGTAATCTAGCGGGTACGTTTTGCGTTATTCTTGAAGTCTCAATTTACCAGTCGGGTTTCGTCGAACTTATGCTGTTCACACGCAGTATTTCCACCTCGTTCTCTCCTTATTGGAGTCGTAACTTTTCTCACCGTAACTAAAAGATCATCTGAGAGTTTCATCTGTCTGCAAATGACCTATTTAACGGTGTATCGATTTCGATTTCTTTCGTTTTGTCACGATGTTCTCTTTAGTTTCGTCCTTGCGTGTGCGCAGGCGTTTCATTCCATTCTCGCCCCCTCCTTATCCATTCGTGCCCCTCTCACAGTGTCGAGAGATGATGACAGCATGCCAGGAACGCGTGCTGGCCAACTCGGCCAAATTGCAGTCAGATCAACGCGATTACGCGAATAAACAGCTGGCTACATTGGATGCGGAAAGGCAACGTCGACGAGCCGAGGACAAAATGCTTGTTGCTGCCCAAAAGGCACGCAGTAAGGGAAAAGATCCCAACAGTAGCCAACGGTTTCTCCGTGCTCAAACGGAACTCGAAGGTGTAAGTTTAGTATATCGTAGCGCATAGTGTCTTTTAACTTGAACACCTATACGTTATACTTATCGGTGGTATGGCATCTTATTTATTTCCAAGCGGCGGCAATCTTCCGCTATCGTTCACATTAGAAGTGACATCATTTGCTTAGCTGTTACATCCGGTTCATTTTCATCAACAAGCCTTCTCATTGGACATGTGAGAATGATCCGCAAGCATCCTCTAGGTCAAGCTGCATATTGTTCCGGCTGTCGTGCTACCTTTTACTTTGTCCGATTACCAACCACTAACTAACTGGCATTCGTTGTTCATGTGGAGTGATTCTACTTTTCTTGCTGCACCATTGTTCTGATAGCTACTGCTGCTGTCATCTAGTGTTCTGCTAACTATAGCTACATTCAATCCCGCTCCACTGGATCGTCGCTGTAACTGCTAAGCGAACACATCATGGCTTTCATCAATGCGACTCAAATCTTCAACGTGTGTTCTCCGAAGCCCTCCCGTATTTGTTCGGCCCACAGCCTGCTTCGAACCCTATGGTGAAGGAAATGCGAACGATGATCACACTAGTGTGTCTGTTCTTCACTGGCTGCATGGTTTCTCTATCAACCATACCGATTACTGACTGTCAAGCTTAGAGTATGCGGACGTCATAGCTCACTTTGTTTCGAACCCATTTGCTATACTGGCGCTGCTGACTAGACTGACTTGTTCTTTAATATGGCAGCTACTGCTACAATGGTAGCCCGATATATCCCTCGTGTATTCACCGCTCTGAATGGTCAGTAGATTTACTTTTTTGGTAACTACTATCTGACTATCATGTCAACCATTACCAAGGCTAGCATAGCTTTTGAATTTTTCGTCTACTTATGTAGACGGCCAGATACGTGTCCATTAGCCAAGGATAGGATTTACAACTTGGTGATGCGATCAGTATTACTAAAGGGATCGAAGACCTAATGGCTGCGGGCTGCATGGGTTCAACCACTAACGTTTGTTTATATATTTTGAGCTGGTCGATTGAATAACGATGAAATTCTTCTCGCCAAGCCTGGTAATATACCACCTGGTGCTTCAATAGACTACCTGTTCAACTCGCATCGTCTCTGTGACTCGGTCATGTAGTCTGTATGCCTGGAACCCAGCTTCCGCAGGTGCGTTTTGGCTCGGAAGAGTAAGCTCGTGAGTTCGAATCCGGAAGGATTCGGTGGATGCGCGCTACTAATGAGTCTCGATACGACGAAACGGTCGTCTAGCGTTTTCCTAGATGTGTGTTGGCTGTCTGGCTGCGTCTAGCTGCGATGAATCTTCTCCAAAAACACAACAAATCTCCCTCCTACTGACCAATTATGTAATCGCCTTAGCAGCTTACGTGCCACCTGGATTGGCGGTGGCTTCCAAAGGAAGTCGTAGCTCTTGGCGCCAGTTTTGTCCCTTGCACCTTCATAACATGCGTGAGAACGGAGGATGAACCGCGCTGTATCGCAGTTAGATATCAGTAATGGTGTTCCGCTGCCGTCGCCCAAGACTCAGTAGCATAAGTCGCTGGCTCGTATGAGTAAGGTCGTGGGTTCAAATCCGGAAGAATTCGGCGGGTACGCGCTACTGACGAGTCCCCATACGACGAAACAGCCGTCTAGCGCTTTCCTGGATGTGTGTTGGCTTTTTGCCTGAGTCTAGATACGATGAATCTTCACCATTCATTCCCTTGTTTAGCGCTTTGGATACCTCAATCAACTGTTGTTTCATTATTATTCTTTTGGCGAAGTAAGTCCAGGCAACTGGATCCTCCCCATCTCAGTGCATGGACCATGGTTGGTAAACTGAATCTGAACTGATACAAAGCCCTGAGTATTTCACTTTATTCTGCACCCACCATGCACATAGACACATCGTTCTAAATATACTAAACGGCATTTCCTCGCTAAACACGTAGCTGGCACGACCACTGATGCAGATGCAAATCATTTAGTATTTGGGTAAGCTTGAATCACTTGCACTGGCTATAAGCCACTTTATCCCCATAATTTCCCATTGAAAATCTCTGTTTTTGTCGCTTGCCTACAGTGCGAGCGTTTGGGGCGAGTTACACAACAGGTTGTTGGAGCAAAGACACGAAAAATTCGCTGATTGACTTGTGCTATTTCATGGCCCATCTATGAACAGAGGATTTGTGTTTATCATTTTGGATATTGGTGTACTTATCCCGCACAGGGTAGCCAGGAAGTCAGCAGCATTCTTCCATTACTCTCTATTCTCATACTTTTAAAACCTTTCATCCGATGCTTCCAACTCTGATTGTCCACAGCCACAATTTTTCTTGTTTGTTTTCATGTTTTTTTCCTTTTTGTGTCGCCTGTAGCCACCGTATTTCGTCACTTTGGCCACCTATATTTAATTGAATTGAACTTGAACTGTCTTTCATTGATGTGTCTCTTGGCGCTTGATCATCCTTCACTTTAGGAGATGAAGCGACATACCACCGAATCACCGACGCCTCAGCAAGCTGTTTACTAACCACCCCGAAATTACTACACGGGTTTTGGCATTCAGCGCAGTCAAGCATGTGGCGGGCAATAGAGCTAATTGGTAGCTTTGGGCCATTAGCGATCATACTGGGGCTGTTACTTGCAGTCTCCACTATGCACCCCACTTGCCCTAGGTAGCGGTACGACTACCAGCTGTATGATGTCGATGATCTACCACCAAACTTCTCGAGTTGCTATGCCTGCTTTGGCATCAGCTCTCATGTACTGTTGTTCTGGTTGGATCGCTGCGCATCACCACTGCAATACCATTTCCGAGTCGTGTTAGGCCATAGTGGAATAAATTTAGGCCGTAACTATTTCGACTTTCGCCGTTACCATTTTCAAGTTGGTCCATTCGAAATAGTTACGGCTTAAATTGATTCCGCTATGGTCTAACATGACTCGAAAATGGTATAAATTTCACTTTGTCCGCTTCCAGATAGTCGCTCTGGGTAATCATAACTCCTCCCCACATCCAATCATTAGTGGTGTCCTCCAAGGGAGTGTACTTGGTCCTTTCCTTTTCCTACTTGATATTAACGATATCACGGTGTTCATAAAACATGGCAGGCCATTTTGTTCGCCGATGACATAAAGATTATTTATAACTTTCGACGATACGAACTCAATAGCGCAATACTGCTCGTTCAAGAAGACCTCGATTCACTTGAGAAATGGTGCAACACGTAGGTGCTAACTTTCTCAGCTAGTAAATCATGCATTGTCACACGGATGTTTAATACTTGAAGAGTCCATTAAACAGAGCAATGAACATATCTGTGTGAAGCTATCCAACTATGATCTAGACATTCGATGCTCTACAAACTTTAATTTCTCAGAGCAAGCTGAGTATCAAATAGCACGTGCTAAACGATCTGTGGCTAACATATGCCATAAAATCTATACAACCCCTGCCAGACTCGAGCTTTTCAAAATACTTACACTTCCTGTCCTTGAATACTGCAGCATCATCTATGGGAACATGCGTATGGTTGACAGGAAAGCTTTGGAAAACCTGCAAATATCGTTCACTAAACGCTTGTTTGATACATCAACCACCTTGTTATCAGGAGCGCTGTTGGTGGCTTAACCTCGAGCCCCTTTGTTTGCTACGACTGAAACATAATCTGATGCTGATACACAATCTCCTAAACCAAAAGACATACTGCAATCTATGTACACTTAAAATTCAATATAACTTCACTCGGAATATACGCAACAAGACTTGTACATTACGTGTGCCGAGAACCAGGACAGCCATCCGGTCAAACTTCTTCTTCGTCAAATACACTGTCATGTGGAATAGCCTACCAGCCACAATCAGGTCTTGCACCAATGCAAGGGCATTACACATTCAGCTTAGTAAATTCCTGGATCAAAATTCGATAATGACCATGTTTCCATCGGGTAAATCCCCACACGTGTTCTTCCAAGATGGACCAATAAATATATAATCAATGACTAAAGATGGTACAAACAACTCAGCAACAACAAAAGTTACGTGATTCCAACTTATTTTGATATCATACACTCCATAATACATATCTCACTCATATATAAGCATGATAATTATTGTCCCATGATCTGTCCACAATCCAGGGACAGCTTCTCTTTTACTATCGGGAAATATACGTATTATTATTATTATTATTATTATTATTATTATTATACAGGGTCATCCCAATCACGTGTCTATCTGTGTAATCAAGTCGTGCGACTTTGTCATCTGAGTACACTCAAGTCATTTTGATTCATGGAGCTATCACTGGATATTGTGTCTATCAATAAGGCTGCTTTTTCCTTCCGGTTTACTTGAGTGGGAGTGCGGGATAAGCTGTTTTTCAGCTGCGCACCGGTCGATGCTATTCGGGCTTTTGTTTCACTTGCTATGTTACCGTGGATATAGCATAAACTCCCGGATCCAGTTTTTGTGGGAAATGATAGTAACTCGATCAGCTGTCGTGAACATTTGCAGTACCGACATGGCACTGATCAATTGGTTGCATGCGCCTTGTTCTGCTCTATCCAGGCGCATTGCTCCATGTCCACGATCCGGCGCCACTCTTCCATCACGGTTTGTAGTTAGCCTTAGTGCTTTTTGTGGTTTCAACGTCCACTCCAACGGTTTCGTACTCGGATGTTATCTGAACCTTTTCCGTGTACAATTCTTCGCTCTCTCTCTCTCTCTCTCTCTTATGACCAAGAATACAGATGTTGTGATATGTATGCGCCATCGGGTCACTCTTCGAACTCCGAACAACACTTCGAAGTGGGGGAGACTCTTTCTAAGTTCATGCTATCCAGATTGATAAATGCGGTCCTCCTTCTTCAATTATGTGCTCACCTCAACCTGCATACTAGCAACAAGGCGCCCGTATTGTGTTGCCTTGTGTTCACTGCACATAACCTGGAAACGACGGTCACTTGCTTCATTGGAGTCAGCTAAGTCTCTTCCGTTCGATAATTGTCAGCAGTGCCCATTCCATTGGATTACTTTGGAGCTAGAACCCCCAATGTGACTGTAACCAGTGCCAGTGGTTAAGATCATTAAGCTGCTGGGAGCGGTTCCGACCGACATGACAAATTACTAGAGGTGTCCATCTTACTTCGCAGAGCTTCCTCCATCGGAAAACTTTTCCCGAGAAGGAACAAGCCGGTTTTCGACCAAGCCGAAGTTGCATTGGTCAAATCTTCACGCTCTGACAAATTCTCGAGCTCTTCCACGTCCAATGTCGACCAGCAGTCGTAATGTTCTTGGACATCCGCGCGGCATTCGATTCAGTAGACAAAGTTGCTCTGTCGAATTGTCTACTAAAGAAGGGTGTGCCCAACAACTTTGTCTCTATTCTGAGAGAACTACAGTCATGCGTCAGACAAAATTAAGGCTTACGGCAGACTTTCCTTTTCGTTTGCTGTTGCCGACGGCGTTCGCCAAGGTTGCTCTATTTCACCTTCCCTCTTCAATTTTGCCATCGGAGATGTCGTACAACGAGTGCTAGATGCTGTCTCGAATTGCGGTGTTGAGCTTCTCCCTGGCGCCAGAATCGCGGACTTAGGCTACACTGATGACTTCACTTTGCTGGGTGACGCTCTGCAAATCGTCCAAAATGCCTTAAACCGCTTCGCGATTGAGGCATCCAATTATGATTAGTATTTCACCCCAACCTAATCTAAAGTGCTATTTCGGGATTGATGGTAACATACTAGAACAAGTGGATTGCTTCACTTTTCTTCGGAGTCGCCTCACGACTGGTGGCAGTGTTGGAGATGGGTTCACAGCGCATTGTAAAAGCAGGCCTTGCTTTCGACAAACTGAGACACCTATGGCGTCATCGTGATGTTAGTCTCAGGCTCAAGCTCAGGGTATACAGTGCCTCCGTCCTTCCGGTCCTGCTGTACGGCTGTGAGACATGGCGCGTTCTCTCTGAAGACATGACACTACCGTTGTCTGCGAAGTATCGCTCGTGTATGGTGGCAACATCACTGAAACACTACTGAGGTTCGTGAACAAGTGCGTGGATCGAACAGCGCCAGCCTTTAAAACGTTGTTCTCCGACACCGTATGCTCGGCCACGTACTGCGAATGCCAGCCCATCACCTTCCCCGGCGTGCGTTATTTGCGCTTCCCGGAAGCGATTGGAAAAAGTATCGCGTTGAACAACCAATAACTTGGAAAAGGAACGTGAAGAAAGCAACTTCAGGCTTAGCATCAGTCGGATCAACGAGCCTCCCAGGTTGGGGCCTACCTGACTCGGAATCCCTGTAGTTTCAGACACTGGATGTGATGGCATGTAACAGACATCACTGGCGCCAGTGTTGTTATGCCGTTTTATCTGGTGATTAATCTCCAGTACATAAAAAAACTCAAAGCGGCCTGTGTGAAACCAAAAGGAAACTGTCTTTTTTCTTACGTTTATTGTCTTCCTTTTCTCATGGTTCTGATGACACATTCTGTATACAGACTTGTAAATTCTAGTCAACATTGAACTCAGCTGATCGCACTTGTTTCTAGCGCCGTCACTCTTTATATGGCATGCCAGATGAGCTGTGTGCTGCTCGGAGGTCCCTGTACTACGACACTCGTCTCCGTGTGCGGCGTTTGGGGATTCCTTCTTTTCTATTCCCCCGTAGCAATAGAGCGCACCACGGCCGTCCAACGGTATCGTTTTCCCCTTCGATTTATTGTCACGAAAGATCACAAGTCTTTCTGTGTATTCCACTCCATTGCATGCTTTGGCTTTATCAGAGCTTCAATTAACTGTAATGCTGCTATATGGAACAGGCATGGCCACAATGTACCGAGGACATCAAGCGACGTGGTGTCTCAGCTCGCTAATGCCTGTGTGCCCCTGCTCATGTCTGACGGGAACGCCAACTGGCGTCTGAGATCAGCCCTACGACGCATCACTACATCGTTCTCGCACTTAACCAGCTTGTGCTTCTTCGGACACATCGTTTGTATTGCCGCTGATCGCCTGCATATTCTTGTACTGTTTCCTTGCAACCTCTCTGGTTAGGTGAAGCGTAAGGATGGCCGATCGATTGGATAACGAAATGGCACGAACGGATCGACTTTGAGACTTGATCGAATTGATGCATGCCGTCTTCCTGTGTGAGGCCATCGGTGGCGGTTTGAGTATGCATATGTGCTTGCAAGCCCACAATATCCCATCCCGCAGTCTCTGGCAGCGAAGCGCGGACGCGAGGTTCTTACATGGGTACTGACACATTGGGACTCCGGAGTTGATTAACTCAGACTTTATTCGACCTGTCTTTTTCACTCGACGGTTGTACCTTTTCATCTAATCTTTCCCATCGTTTTGCTATTTTGTAAGGTTGCATGGATACTTCAGTTATTTTGTTATTGTGTTGATATCGCGAGTCATAGCAGCTCTGTCCACTCCATCTCAGTGCCTGAATGGCGCTTGACCAACTGAACTTAAAGCGGTCTCTCCATGTTTACACTGCGTGGTGCTACATAGCTTCCATGGAAATGCATACAAACGTGGTGTGTCTGCAATCTTTCCGTAACATATGATCTTGTTGTTTAGCATATTAGTCCTACAGGTCCGCGCTGGTCTCACATTTGACCAGCATTGTTAATAGTAATGTTGTAAGTATATCGCAAAATGCTGCCGCGAGATGCTGCCCCCATGCTGAGGTTTGCTCGTTGTTCAGACTTTAGAGCTCAGCATGGGTCTCAGGCTGAGTCCATCATCACCGTTGGAGTACAAGAAAAGCAAGGAAACTTGTTCGCTCACAACAGAGTACTTTGATGACAGTCGGCGTTCACCTGGCTAGCCGACATTCCGTTTAGCGGAACGTGGCCACCAATGTTATCGAGGCCTTATACGCTCGTCTGTTTACATAAGGTAAGTTTCGGCCGCTGAATCACCGTAAATTGAAGCGGTCAGACGATGTTGTGTCGGCCGACTGCTCTAAATGACTCATGCGGGTTTTCACACATAGGCCAGTCCGCCATACATCGAGTGATCAGGTAGCTTTGAACCATTCGCGTTTACTATGTTCTGAAACCCTTATGGACAGTTTTCTCTTTGTCTGATCAACCTTCTCTTTACGCAAGTACCGTAAAAGAAATAATTGCTTGTGGTAATAAGTCGGCTGTCAATTGGAAACCAATCCATGGGCGCTTCCTCGGCGTTGTCGCTTAATGTTTACAGCACTAGTCATGCCGTCTGTAGTTGTTTATGTGACAGCAGACCGACGCAGGAAACGTTTGATTTCATGATCAACAGCTGAAGTCGGTGGAAGCACAGTGCTTGAGTCCCTCAACAGCGATGGAATCCGGAGTACGCACTGGGCCGGCCTACTACGTTGAATGTTGCCAACCGCAGTGAAGCTTAGGGAAGGAGGGTCAGTAGACATCTGTGAGAATTACTGGGGGAGGAATTTTTGGCCTTAGATGATTATACGTGAGTAGCAAAGTATAGAGAAACGGGGAATTGTGGAAGAGCGCACGCGATTTTGCACAAGACAATTGAAACAAAAATTAAACATATATACTGCTTCAGACACGGGCCAAACGTTTATGTTTACAAACTGTTGCTCTTTATGAGGTGAAGAGACACGGATACCTCAATGTACACGGCCTGTCTTGTTATCCCTGAGTGACGCGTTGACATGATTGAGATAACTGAGCGACAAAACAGACAGCAGAAGGCACCTGCCTTCAAACATGGGGACAGAAAACGAGGAATATGGTTAGTACCACATTTGTTCATTACATAGGAAGCGGGTCCGCACTTGGGCAGTTGGTGGGTGGGAATGTAGCAAAGCAGTTCAGTGGCCTCCAAGACTTTGGGTATAGACAGTCACCAAGGAAGATCGCGTCAAGATTTTGAAAGAAGCGACTAAGTGAGATAGGGTTAGTGAACGGGGTTGTGTGGCGGAAGATGAACGGATTGGGGGTTGCCTGTGTAACCGTCGCTGTGAGGTCACACGTGACCCACATAACAACGAGTCGGCGCCTGAGGCCGTATTCAGACGTTGCAATGTCAATTCTGATGGTCTATACATTTGACCGTGAATCCTTGTTCTACTACACCATCGCCTCATCCTCAGTCCCTCTTAAATATATTTCTCGACCGTTTCCTCATTACACTCGTCTTATGTTGTCCCATAGAAAAACGCTGCTTACGCCAGCTCAAGCTTTGCGACAGCGCGCGCCAGAAATGATTATCTCATCCAGTTGGCTGCGGTTAATCAAAGTGTGGCACGTTACTTTTCCGAAGAAGCACCAGACATTATTGATGTAAGTTGCGATGTTTTGGTGAGATTTCGTTTTCTTGTTACTATCTCATTTTTCAATAGATATATTGATGCATGCAATTCTCTGACTCCAAACAACCTCTTGTGTTTCCTGGTTGACTTCGCATCATTAACTCCTCTTCCTCGTCCGAACTTCCATCCGGAACTGAGGGATTTCTTCATTCTTCACTTGGCCTCATTCTTTTTGGGCCCGCATCGCTAATTGTATCTCCTTCTGACGGCTACCCCGCAGTCCTCTCGTTTATCGTTCAATGTATACCGGACATCATCCTCGACAGACAATTTTTCGCTTGCGCCTCGTAATAAGCCTAATTAAGTCAGCGCTTTGCTCGCCTAATACAATGCTTTTCCTTCCTCGTGCTTCCATGGACTCCTTATCACCAGGCCAATCATTCATGCCATGCTTCAAGCGTATTCAGTTGCGCCTTCTGTTTGACATATTGTCATCTCTTCGTGAGAGAACAGTCATGGCTTCCAGTCCGCTGGATTCGACGGTCGTGGAAACTGTCTGTGTGTCCCACTTTTCCTCGTAAGCTCCGTCTGTGACTGATTTTGACTGCGACGAATCTCTCCAATATCAATCGTATGTCCACCAAGTTTCATCATTCCTTCGCACTTCTCAAACAGTCTAGAATTGGTAGCTATTCATAATGTGCACTATAGAGTAATTTATAATTATAGTGATTCGTTCTCGATTATCCACGAGACGCGTGGTGAGGCATGTGCAAGCAATTATGTACATATGCAACAGACCGATCACAATTCTATCAAAAATCATTGCGAGTACTGATGCCAATACAGAAATATCAGAATTTGCAAAATAATAGATACCAGCAAACGTCACCTACATTTAGTTTATGCCGTCACTAAAAGCAGTTATAATAGATACTTCTTCACCGAATTACAAGCAATCGACCTCTTCAGTGAGCTTCGGCACTATTTCTTGCGGCTTATAATCGATGATGGAGAAAAGATTCCGCATCATGCACTCATCTTGGAAGGAAACATGTTCGTTCATTGGTCCTCAATGGGGACATGAAAAGGACTTAAGGAATCAGCGGATAAATGGAAAGATTGAAGGACTATAGGTTTTTAGTGATTATGGACATAAAGCCCCTCGGAAGTAATTCCTGAGATGAACTAATAATTTGCGCGCACCAAGTATCATTGTGTGCGGAAGTGCATAAAAGTTATGTAAATGTGACGCATTATCAGTTTCTTATTTGCAAATATAAAACGATTTAATGAATTACAAAAGGGAAGATCGATCAGACTTTGGTGCAATTTTATTCGCGATAAGTAGATTAAGCAGAAAATTATCCCCCCGGCTAATGCCACCTAAGCATGTACGCTGAATCTAAACAAAGTATGTTTCAGCATGCAGTAATCGTAAGTGGGAGGTCTATATAAGAAGTGCCCAGTGGCATATAGAGAAAGAAACATGCAATTTGTATTAGCTATTAAGAACACTGACTTTTAAGGATAAATTCGACCAATATAGTCGCTAGCCGCCTTCGCCATGTGAGCATATGGGTCTCATATGTATTCGGAGTACTCTTTCATTCATTGTCATTTTAATTAACCCGAGGCTTGAATACTTTATGAGTCACATGAACAAGTTCCGGGGCACAATCGCGTACGTGGGAATTCACCCATGAGGTGATTAATCTTAGCCCGTGATACCAATGTTTTCCACCCGTAACTGACTTGTATCCTTCTCCGATTACTTGCATCGCTTCTGGTTCGGCCTTTCACTTCGACAGATCGGTACTTCTACATCATGCTGAGTGATTTTGCTTTTTTGTTTCTCAAAATGTTGTTTCTCTTTGTGCTAGAAGATCTCATTTTTTTATCCACTCCCTCTCCATCCAGTGCTTCGCTTGTGGCTTCCACAACAGTCTGGCGCGATCAGCCATGATGTATCTGAGTTGTGAGGAGGCACTGAAAACATGTCATGGCTCGATTGTAGAAATCCTGAACCGGAATATCACTGCTTTGGACTGGAGGCAAGATAAAGCTTGTTTTCTCAAATGCAACGAACACAGTTTCACCCGCCCTGGCACGTTCACCTTCCTGTCCGCCAAAGAGGACAATGTGAGTGGGTTTGTTGCTTATGTGTCCCCGTTCGTGCACAAGCTGCCTCATCTAATCAATCGGCTAGCATTGTATGGACGCATGCGTCGGACTGTGGCCTGACCGAGACATCCGGTCCGCTGACTAAGGCTGCTACCTGTGTGTGTGTGTGTGTCACCGTTGCACATGCCGACTGAGAAACCCGAAACCAGATGGTTCTGGGGACGTCGTTTGTCACTGAGATTAGACTGCTGCTACTACGGATTCATATTGTGTGTGTGTGTGTATGTGTGTGTGTATACTGTGATGACTTTCACCTCCAGATGGTTAGTCGACATGATATTGAATGCTGGTTTGGGCTTATTCCCTCCTTTGACACTGAATAAGCAGGCGTCTTTCGGCCTTTTGGTTCTACCACCTCGGTTTGAGTTACGCCACTTCGTGCTTTTGCTGCACTCCCTGAAAGCGTTAATATGAATTTTTTCGATCTGAGTCGCACTACCTCCATCTACAGGACCCGAACAATGATGGTGTCTTGGAGAGTTTGCCCAGGTTTCAAAGGAGGTTCGTCACATCTACGTTCAGTAAGACAACCATCCGATAGTTTGGTGGCGACTATTTCGTCTTTTAGTGCTATCAGAACAAATAGCGAACAAGCTCGTTTTCAGTGGTTCCTCATCAGGCTAATACACCACAAATGAATGACATGAACGTAAACATCAGTTAAGAGTACAGGTCCAAAAACCCAGATGGTCTGAGTGACCAAGCTAGGCGATTGGCCATACGACTAGTCAACTATGCACATTCAATCCGCGCGGCAACGAGGCCTAGCACTTACTACCCTCTTCTCACGAATCAGCCGTTTGGTCACAGCGGGATTACGTCGATTCTCGTGTCTCCTCGTAACCAGGTAGGATGTGCAACTCATCTATACCAAGAGATGCAGTTGTTGTTGTTGTTGAATTCTTTCGTATTTGTGGGGAGTAACTAGGTGTGAATTCGGGTTGCTCTCATCTGAAATTGGAAACGTCTCTCATGAGACGCAATTCAGTTTGCGTGATCTTCACCTATATGTTTCTACTTTGTTTACGTCGGCCTACATTTTCTCTTGAGGCCGCTTGTGCCCCCACCTGTCCCCATACTTCATACAGCACTTGCGGTTATGTGACGTTTCCGTCCAACTCGGTTGGGTTTCTACTGCTCTCGTCCTCATACTTCGCAACTATGGGAGCAATGTTATATGATGCAAATTGGATCTCACTGGAGCGAAAACCGAAGCAGAGGTGTGGACTGTTCCTAGCTGGGAGGTTGACACTTTGGAGCAGGAGAGTCGTTAATCCAGGGATGGCACGATGTTGTGTATACATTTCAACAGCTACTATGGCCGTTTCTGAGGCTAGAAGAACTACTGGTATCTCGAGTTAGCTTATTGCACTGTTCGGCAGCCCGGACAATTTGGTTGTACGCGCCTCGTCGCCAGTTTAGGTGACACCATCAGAGTACAAGAGTTATTGGCTCTGTAGCAGAAGCTGTTGGAAGACGAATACGTCTTGGCGTGCACCGTGACAGCTGGTCCTTGGGCCCCAATTCAAGGAGATGACAAGGATCAACATGACTTAGCCCTTTTACCGGTTTGTTCATGTGCTTCTGCCACACGTCGTTGACTGATCACTTTGTTTCGCTCTACTACGCTCAATATTGGTGAACAATACACTCTGAAGCAGCTGGCTTACAGGCCTTCCTGAGCACCTGACCAAGAAGATAAGAGACTCCGATCAGACACCAAAAGGTTTTGATGCTAAGCGTTAGATAATAAACTTAGGCGTCATTCATTCGGTTCCCAAGGCAGTTGTGAGCAGACATCTGGGGTCAGACACAGCCAGTCCCCTGACGTCAACAGAACACAGCGGCCAGGTATGTAATCTGTATAGTAGCATTGACCTCACCACAATTGTAAACCCTTTCTCAACGTAAGATGCTCACATCCTGTTGTCTTCACAAACGACCGAGACTTTGAAAGGTCGTACACGCTTGGCAGTGGACGCAGTAGCTTATTTTTTGATATGACCGCCAGAAGTGGTGCGGCTATCCATATAGGCGCAGTGATCGACCACTTTGAGTGGGTTTCGGTGCTCGTAGGAGAACTAGGAGGAGTAGGCCCAGTCATCTAACAGTACTTTGTGCTTTGATAACGTATCACACACGCTAGAGCGTACAGAGCTGTTCGTCAGCCTATTCAGTAGCGCTTGCTTAATCGCTAGTCAGACTTGTCTTCCGCAATCGATAACTTGGCAGAACCTTCACCCTGACAGAAGTGGAGGAAGGCAAACAAGTGTGATTCACGATCACTTCGAACGTACACTTGAGCAGCAGCAGATTCGTAGGAGGACAGTGATAGCGTACATTACGTTACTTGAATACATTTTAAATAAATAAATAACTAGTATATTCCTCGGTGATTCAAGGTGCAGTCCAACTATGTGGTCTGATCGGTGTTAATGACGCCTGCATTTCTATTCGATTTGTTTACTGTAAATATAAAACACTTCTCCAATAATCTACGTTCGACTACAGTCAACACCATATCCGCCATGGTAACGACATTGCCTTAGTTCCTGCTAGATACAGACCTATCGGTCTGACTGGTCGTTCTGGTATACACATCCTCAATGTTTGCAGTGGTACACTGCCATTCCTTGATTGCCTAGTTCACAGGAACGGAGGACGACTAAAAACAACTATATATCCCAAACCAATGAATACGGACGGAGTACTGCATTATGGCTCAGGTCATCCAGAACACATCTACGCAGCTATCTTATCTTCTCCGTTTCACAGGGCCCAGACTCTGCGCACAGAGTAAAAGGACAGGAAAGCCTCCTAGAAGAAGACAATAAACAAATTACTATATAGTTGATGTTCGAGGCAGTTAGTGAAACATCAATTGCTTCGTGAACTAAACCCACCTTCACGATTTTTGACGGCCTGGATTAGGACGGTTGGAATCCATTAGAAAGAAGAAACTTCTAAAGCAATCAGGCGGGTGCCATACAAGGAAAAGATAACGGTGGTTTACAAAAGTGGTCAAACACTCCGTTCCGCACTGCTCCGTTTGTTTGATCCGCTTCCGAGAGATATGACGACCAGTTGTGTTTATAAAGTTATCGTAGAAAGCAGAAGTCACGATTAAACTCCACACGAAAATCTGCCTCGACGGGGAATCGAACCCCGGTCCACGAATTTCCGGTCCGCTGCTCTACCACTGAGCTACCGAGTTGCAAAGTCAGGCTGTGCGCACGTGTACAGGATGTTTTATTACTCATGTCCGGAGCTAGGAGCGGCTCCGCTCAGGTGCTGATGTACCCCGATACGCCTAATTGCTAATTGTCAAATGACGCGAGTTGCTTTGTTGACAGGAGTGAGATGAAGCCCGCGACGTGTGTGTTTACGATCACAGGGGATCCCGAGCTGTTCAGCTGTGAGAAGTGAATGTTAGCAAACATCAAAGCCCCAGTCGACCTGTCATGCGTGAATCGCAAGGCAGGACCAAGGGAACGCAGGCCGTTCGGCTGTGAGAACTGAGCGCTAGTCAGACACCACAGCCGCACTGAAGGTGTCATACTTCGATCGATCGGTAGTCGGCCTTCACGCAGGTGGAAAGCCAGCGAAAGGGTTCCCTGCGAAGTGGTTAGTGGGCCGCTATGCTAGCAATGGAGAAAAACAGCCTGGCGTTATGTGATGACCGGTTGAGGGGCGCCGTAATGCTATCGCCACAAAAGTCGTTATCGCCTCATGACTGGCTTCCAACAAACCCGTAAGCTTTATTAGGCTGCTTCCGCTGCTAAGGGGAATTATACTGCCTGGAGCACATTGCAAGGTTACATTGTTGTTCGCCTTACCGTTTCAATTACGTGCGTGTTACAGCTGAGAATTCACCATTCATAGGTGCATAAAAACGGATTCTTGACTTGACTTGACGTGACAATGCTCTTAAAGCTCAGTCTGTCCAGACGCACTGGTGGCAACACTAGACAGCACACCAATTCAGTCATGAATGCAACTATTGCCTTCACAGTCCGACAATTGCGAGTTGTACAAATTGGTCAGATTTTCGATGATGTTTCTCGTGTACAATGGAGAATATACATTTATTCATTTCTTTACTTATATTTACATGAAATGTGTGAAATGTCGGTAAATATCAACGAATTAGATGCTTCAAACATCAACCAAAGCGGACGGCGTCGCATCGTCACAGATGAAGTATCAGCCTGTGCGGTTGCGTAAGTGGTATGTCGTAACAGCCATCTCAGCATTCCGCAACTCGCACAACATTGCAAAACCACACCGTATGCTGTTCATCGGATTTTAGGGAAACATTTCCGGTGATATAATGCACTCCAGGTGCAAGCGTGGAGTGCATGCGATTCACAGAAGCGCCTGGAATTCGCCCGTTTGTTCTTAAACAGTCCGAAAGTGCATTCCATTTTGTTCACCGATGAGGCGATCTTCTCTCTGCATGACGAAGATAAGCAACAAGTTGGGGTAACAACCAACTGCGGACATGAGTAATAAAACACTCTTTGCATAGGCCAAACAACAAGCGAACTGCGCGCAAGGGTAGCAGAGCACAGGTGGCACGTTTCGTATCCACCGGGAAACGAGCTTGAAACTTTCGGTGAGAACGCTACACACGCTTGACTCGAGACGTGAAATCGATTGGGATAATGTAGAGGTCATTAGGAAACGAGTAAGAGCAAGAGTAACTGCTGCGGCGGTAGAAATTGTTAAGACAGATAACTGCATAAACGGAATCGGCGGGATGGAACTATCCAATTCGTGTTGTGAAATCTTACCGCGGTCATTCTGAACAGCGTCGGCGAGCAGACTCAGGGTGAAACGAAGAAAACGTCGAACTGTCATCACTAGAATCAACAACAGCAAGAACAAAAGTGCTTGTTGTGTGAATGAACCGTGACACGGATCAATTTGAGAACGTTCTATGCTCATTGTACCCCTGG